TCAGCTCCTGCACCGCCACCTCGTGGACGCGGGCCTCCTCCTCCAAAGCCTTCTTCAACTCTGTCACCTCCTGTTCCCTCTTGGACCTTGGGGGAAGGGAGCGGGGAACAGAATTTCAACGCAGAGGAAAGCAGGGGTGCTGGGGGAGCTGTCTGTGCCTCTTTTTCTTTTTTCTCAAAAACGAGGACCTCACACTACACTCTAAAAGGGATCTGGGTGGTGATGCTGTAGAAGGAGCGTAGTTTTAAGGGCGAACTCCTACTCACCTTTCAAAATCCTGTGCAAAAGGCTCCCCTGCTCAGGGAAATCTCCCTGGCTTCCTCCCAGAGACCTGATTTAGGGGCCTTCTCTTAGCATCCACAATGCCCCATGTGACTCCATTAAAGCACCTCTTGCTCTGGATCAGGCCTGAATCTGCCTCCCTGGAGACTGGGAGCACCCAGGGTTCCCCAGCTTGGCCTAGAGGCAGAGCTCAACAGACGACTGTTCCGTGACGAAATCTCCATGTAGGTGGAGACCTCGCTCCAAGTCCTGCTCCCACCCCCGGCCCCGCACAGGCCTCACCGGAGCTCTTGCTGTGCGTTGGTGGAGTCCAGCGTGTCTTCCAGCTCGCCCCGCAGGGCCTCCAGCTCCTCGCCCAGGTCCCGGCGCTGCTTCTCCGCCTTGGCCCTGGCCACACGCTCGGCCTCCAGGTCCTCCTGGGCCTCGGCCATGGCTGCCTGGGCCTCCCGCAGGGATTTGAGCAGCTGGGCCCGGGCCCCACCTTCGTCTTCAGCCCTGGGGATGAAAAGGGCCATGGAAGCCGGCTCGGTGGCTCAGCCTGTAATCCGGGCCTTTGGGAGGCTGAGGTGAGTGGATAGCCTGAGCCCGCGGGTTCGAGACCCGCCTGGGCAGCGAGACCTCATCTCTACAAGAAATCAAAAAATCAGCCGGGCGTGGGAGCGCATGCCTGTAATTCCAGCTACTCGGAAGACTGAGGCGGAAGGATCTCCAAAGCCTAGCAGGTTGAGGCTGCGGTGGCTGGGAGCGGCCACTGCACTCCAGTCTGGGCGACAGAGTGAGACTCCAACTCAAAAAAAAAAAAAAAGAAAAGAAAAGGGCCATGGAGTTGGGATGGGGGTAGGCAAGGGCAAGGCAGGAGGCCAGATGTGTGGTTCGGGGGTGGCCAGTCCCAGGTTTGAATCCCGGTTCTGCCACTGGGCATGGACGTAACTCTAGAATTTAGATCCTCCGTTTTTTGGTTTGGTTTTTTTTTTGAGTTGGGGTCTCACTCTGTTGCCCAGGCTGGAGTGGCATGATCACAGCTACTGCAGCCTCAACCTCTTGGGTTCAGGCGATCCTTCTGCCTCAGCCTCCTGAGTAGCGGGTGTGCACCACCATGCCTGACTGATTTTTTGTAGAGATGGGGGCTTGCTGTGTAGCCTGGGATGGTCTCAAACTCCCAGACTCAAAAGTGATCCTCTCACCTCGGCCTTCCAAAGTGCTGGGATTAGAGGCATGAGCTACCACACACCGTCTACACTTTCTTATTTAATTCTCACACAGACCCTAGGGGTAGAGACTGCAATCACCCCCATTTTACAGATGAAGAAACTGAAACGAGAAAATGATGTCACTCGAGTGAGGTCACATGGCCAGAAAAGGGAGGAGCCAGGCTTCAAGCCCAGAAGTCAGACGCAAGAATGCGTGTACTTCACCCCCCCACACACACACCATGGACCACCCATTCTGAGCTGCACCCTTGTTCACATTCTAGAACACCTCTGAGACGGGGTGTACCTATACTCAAGGATGTCTTCGACTGTGTGAAGCACAGTACACTAAAAACACCTGAGGTGAGGTGCAGTGACGCACACCTGTCATCCCAGCACTTGGGGAAGCAGAGGTGAGAGGATTGAGAGGTGAGAGGGGTTCAAGACCAGCCTAAGCAACTTGGCGAGCCTTGTCTCTACAATAAATCAAAAAACTAGCTGGGCGTGGTGGCGTGCACCTGTAGTCCCAGCTACTTGGAGGCTGAGGCGGAAGGATCTCCTGAGCTCAGGAGGTGAAGACTGCAGTAGCCTGGGCGACAGAGTGAGACCCCCTGACGCAAAAAAAAAAAAAAAATCTGAAATTCTGAGAGCCATACGCAGCATACAGTAGGTGCTCAATTATTGCGAACGAGTGTAAGAGAGTTATTAAGATTCCTAGCATGGGAGGGGTAGAAGAACCCGCATCATCTTGCTCCTGCTGTGAAAACCTCGTCCCCCCCACCGGGTGGACTCCGGCAGAAGGGGACACCGAGGCTGGGCAGGGGCGTGGTCCGTCTGTGCACCCGCAGTCCCTCCTCCCCTCACCAGGGCCCGCCCCCGCCCCCCACCTGGCCAGGGCCGCCTGCAGCTCCTCCTCCTTGCGGCCCAGCTGGGCGCGCAGCTCCTCTGCCCGCTGCTGCTGCTCTGCCATCTGCTCCTGCAGCTCCGAGCTCTCCCCATCCAGCCGCCGCTTCAGCTTCTCCAGCTCCTGGCGGCCCTTCTCCTCCTTCCGCAGGCGGTCTGCGGCGGGATGGGGCGCGTGAGGGCTCCGGACCCCCACCCCTGCGCCTGGCAGCTCCCCCCACCCCCGGGGCTCCTCCTCTCCACCCGGTGTCCGCAGCCCAGCCTCCCACCCAACAGCAAGGGATGGAGAGACAAAAATGGGAAACCGTTCACAGGGCAGTTAGGTGGAAAGAGAAGGCAACCCAAGTCACCGAGGAGACAGGTAGATTTAGGGATACAAAAAGGACCTAGGGCCAGGCACAGAGGCTCATGCCTGTAATCCCAGCACTTTGCGAGGCTAAGGCAGGAGGATTGCTTGAGCCCTGGAGTTCGAGACCGGCCTGGGCGACACAGTGAGACTTCATCGCCACAAAAAAAGTAAATAATAAATTAGCCAGGGGTGGTGGCATGCACCTGTAGTCCCAGCTAGCCGGGAGGCTGAGTTGGGAGGATTGCTTGAGCCCAGGAGGTTGAGGCTGCAGCGAGCTGTAACTGTGCCACTGCACTCCAGCCTGGGCAACAGAGTGAGATCCCAACTCAAAAAAACAAAAAACAAAAATAGGCCAGGTGCAATGGCTCACACCTGTAATCCCAGCACTTTGGGAGGCAGAGGTGGGAGGATTGCTTGAGCCCAGGAGCTCGAGACCAGCCTGGGCAACACAGCAAGACCTCATCTCTAACAACAACAAAAAAAAGCCGGGCGTGGTGGTGCGCACCTGTAGTCCCAGCACGTTGGAAGGCTGAGGAGGAAGGATCACCTGAGCTTAGGAGTATGAGGCTGCGGTGAGCCGTGAGCCTGCCACTGCCCTCCAGCCTGGGTGACAGAGAGAGACCCTGACTCAAAATAAATAAATACATATTTTTCAAAAAGGACTTAAGGGCAGAGAAGACACTAACCCTTCCTGCACCTCCTTTCTGTCCCATTCGGTGGATGTAACCACAGAGGCCCCACAGCACACGGGCTCTCCCGCCGGAGCATGCACAGACCCTCCCCCAGCTCTCTCGGGGGGCGCTCACCCTCCATGTCCGCCATCGTGGCCTCATATTTGAGTCGGAGCTTGTTGAGGCTCTTGATTTTCTCTTCCTCCTCGGCCGCCTGGGAGGAGAACTCGGCCAGACGCTCCTCCAGCAGCCTCCGCTCCTGAGGGGCGACGGGAGGCGGTGGGTGGGCGGGAGTTGGGCTGGGAGCAGCCCCTGCCCCACCGCAGCTCAGCCCCTGGTGCCTTCGCATCCGCGCCTCGCCTCATCCTCCCTCTGCCCTCCGCCCCTTCCCTCTTCTTCCCATTTCCGGGGCTGCACACCCATCCACCCCCAGGTTCACGCCTGTGAACTGCAAGTTGGCACTCCCACTGCTTGAGATACACCCCCGTTCCCTGACCCGTGATCCCACGGGTGAACCCCGGGGGCTGATCCAGACATTTGCTGCTGTAAACCACACTGCAGTGGACATCCTCGCGCCTGCAAAGTGCTGGCATGATAGGCGTGAGCCACCGCGCCCGGCCTGCCTGTTGGTTTCGAGGGGCTTGTTCCACTGCGGGCCCCACGCAGACACACCCGCCAAGGCACCCCTCCCTACCCCCTGCAGCTGCCCTCGGGGCCCCAACCTTGCTCAGCTTGGCATTCTGGTCTTCCAGGAGCAGCAAGTCCTCCTCGAATTTCTTCAGCTTGGCCTCCGTCGTCACCTTCTCCAGCTGCAGCTTCTGCCGCGCCCCCTCCTCGGCTTCGAGGTGGGTCTCCAGCTCCTGGAGTTGGGAGGAGGGAGGAGTGAGGACCGGGGTGGAGGTGGGGGCTCGTGGCGCAGACGGGTCTACACCGAGGGCGAGGCTGGGAAGAATCAATCCCTTGCCCGTCTTCCCACTTCATTCATTAGCTGAACATGCAATTATTGAGTACCTAGCGTATGCCTGGCTCTGTCCTAGGTACTGAGGATAGACAAAAAATCCCTATTCTTGGGCTGGGCACAGGTGCTCACGCCTGTCATCCCAGCACTTTGGGAGACTGAGATGAGAGGACTGCCTGAGCCCAGGGGTTCGAGACCAGCCCGGGCACCATGGCAAGACCTCATCTCTACAATATATCAAAAACTTAGCCGGGCGTGGTGGTGCGCACCTGTGGTTCCGGCTACTCAGAAGGCTGAGGTGGAAAGATAGCCAGAGCCCAGTAGGTCGACTCCGACTCAAAAAACCCCCCAAATCCCTATCCTTTTGAAAATTATGTTCTTGTGTGGGGGTTGTGGGGGGTACAGATAATAAAAATAAACATAATAAGCAAGTCATATACGTGCGTACTGTCCACTATGGTAGTCACCAGGCACACTGGAGACCCAGATCCAACGTTCTGTCCCACCTTGACATTTAGTGAAAGGAAGAGGGCCTTACACGGCCTCACCACCCGTCCTCCCACTCACCCTGCTCCCACGGATAAGGTCCCCTCACCAATTCTCCCTCCTTATCACAGGACAAGACGTATCCCCCAAGAAGCGTATTTCAGTTCCCTGCCAGCCCACAGAATCATTGAAATGAACCAGCCACATCTTCCACGGCCACCTGGGACCCCCTTCATCTTTTGTTACCACAAAGCCTGACCCCCCCCCACATCTCTTCACTTTGCTCTCGGGCCTCTGTGGTAAGCTGTCTGTCTCCCTCCGCCTGCGAATACTTGTGGCACTCAATAACCTGCCATCAATCTCACCTGTCCAGTATCGAGTGTCATGTGTTGGGCCACCCCCATAACTCTAGGCAACCAAGAGGGTGAAGAGAAGGGGATTAAAACACTACTGGCCAGGCATGGTGGCTCAAGTTTGTAATCCTAGCACTTTGGGAGCCAGAGGCGAGAGGATTGCCTGAGCCCGAGGGTTCGAGACCAGCTGGGCAACATGATGAGACCTCATCTCTACAATAAAAAAAATAATAATAACCGGGCATGGTAGTACACACTTGTGGTTCCAGCTACTTGGAAGGCTGAGGCAGAAGGACTGCCGGAACCCAGCAGGTTGATGCTGGGGTGGTTGTGAGCGTGCCACTGCACTCCAGCCTGGGCGATGGAGTAAAACTCCAACCCCCAAAAAACCAAAAAACACTACTGAGTTCTCAAAATGTGGCCAGTGTAACTGAAGAACTGAACTTTCTGTTTTGATTTGATTTTATTTTTTTATTATTATCTTTTTTTTTTGAGTTGGAGTCTCACTCTGTCGCCCAGACTGGAGTGCAGTGGCCGCTCCCGGCCACCACAGCCTCGACCTGCTGGGCTCTGCTGATCCTTCCGCCTCAGCCTTCTAAGTAGCTGGAACTACAGGCATGCGCTACCATGCCCGGCTGATTTTTTGATTTATTGTAGAGGTCTCACTGCCCAGGCAGGTCTCAAACCCGCGGGCTCAGGCAATCCACTCACCTCAGCCTCCCAAAGGCGTGAGATTACAGGCTGAGCCACCGAGCCCAGCTTGATTTTATTTTATTTTATTTTATTTTAGTGCAAATCCATAAGCATCTCTGAACCTATCTATTTATTTATTTATTTAGAGTCGGGGTCTCACTCTGCCACCCAGGCTGAAGTGCGGTGGCACAATCATGGCTCATTGCAGCCTCAACATCCTGGGCTTAGGAAATACTCCCGCCTCGGCCTCCCGAGTAGCTGGGATTACAGGTGTGTGCCACCATGCCCAGCTAATTTTAAAATTTTTTTTTTGTAGAGACGAGGTCTCACTATGCTGTCCAGGCTGGTCTTGAACTCCCGGGCTCAAGCAATCCTCCCACCTCAGTCTCCCAAAGTGCTGGGATTATAGGTGTGAGCCATTGTGCCTGGCTGATTTTATTTGTTTAAATTTTAAAACTAGACATTCAACCACTGGGAAGCTTTTAAGTATGTTTGGAACAACTTGGGTATGTAAATCTCCTTTTTTTTTTTTTTTTTTAAGAAACCAGGATTTATTGAGAGGACAGAAGAGCTCCCACAGTGGAGGGGACCTGAAGGGATGGCCAATGAATCTCCTTTTTAAATTATAGAAATAGAAATATAGATCAAGTATTTCCAATGAAAGCTTAGCACTTGAATTGAGAAATGCTGCAGTGTAAAATGCACACTGGATTTTACAGGGGAGCCTTGAAGGCCTGTAAATGAAGCTAGGAGATGCAGAGAGGCAGAACACTGAGGACAAAACTTGAATGCCTGGATCCAGCCATACCTGAAGTTCTTACATTCTAGTCTTTTCCATTACTTGAACCAAAAATGTATTCTTTTTGCAAAGTCACTTGGAACGGGGTACTCTACAAATTTGTGGCCAAAAAAGACATGATTTGCAGAAGCAAAGGTGGGTGGGGTAGACAGAGGGGCTGGGGACCTGGTGGGCGTGTGGGGGCCAGACCTGTATGTGCTGCTGCAGCCTCCTCTTCTCGGTTTGAAGTTGACGGCTACACTCCTCCTCCTCACCCACGCGAGCCTCTAGCTCCGTCACCACCAGCTCCAGCTCCTGCTTTCGGGTTGCCAGCCGTCCCCGTATCTCTTCGGCCTCCGCACACAGTTCTGCCTCTGCTCGCAACTGCTCTCCCAGGCGGGTGCGCTCCTCTTCCAGCTGGGGTCAGGGTGGGGGGCCAGTGGTCAATGCTCCGGGGTGGTCCTCAAGGGAGCATCAGGCCCCTGCCGCCCTCTAACCTGCTTTGCTCCTTGAGACCTCCAGGGCAGAAGAGAGGTGTGGGAGACACAGTCCCCTAGCCTACTCCTCTCCTGGTCCCTATCTCAGGATGACTCCACATCCCCCTAATCAGCAAATCAGACTCCTGGGTGTCTCCTTGTCCCTCACCTCCCACAGTCCACCAGTTCCCAGCCCTGTCACTCCCTGGCTCCTCTTCTCTGTCTGCACAGACCCAGCAGGCTCAGGTCTCATCCTCTCCCATCTGGACTCTCCAGCCTCATCCCCAGCCTCCAGTCTCTCTCCTTCTAGTCCATCCTCTAAAGAACCCAGGGGTTGTTCTACCATCTCACAAAAGAAGTTTAGCCAAAAGGAATAATTCAGAAAAAGCAAACTGAAACATTCTCAAGGGGCTCGCCCAGCACTTTTTTTTTTTTTTTTT